TATATTCTGTCAAATCATATTTTTAATTTTAAAATATTGACATGACATGACATACTTTTATAATAATATTAAATAATTTTATTTTACATTGATATTATATTATCTTTAATCTCTAATTTTTAACTATTAAATTAAAATAAGTGGCTAGGATTAAAAGAGTCTACTAAATGGATCACATGTACGTCTGACTATTCAATTTCTAATTTATTTTGTTTTATAATAAATTTCTATTATTAATTGCACCATCTTAATTTTTCATTAGAATTTCATAATCTTAAAAAAAAAGATTATTATTATTTACGGTTCGCGGGCATTCCTATTATAGCTTTTTGTTAAATTTATATGAGATTTCGTTTGTTCGCAAGTGGCATGTGTGAGTAACCGATTAAGATAAAACTAATGTATTCTTCTTCTTGCTTTTGCTTCTTTCTTAGGGTTTTTTGGATAGTGAACTCTTAATATTTTTGTTTTCCTTTCAACATATCTTCTTTACTTATGATATGAGTGTTTACGCTTTCAGCTTGCTTGTTTATCCCCAATTATTTGTACTAGATTCAACTTCAGTGAATTTCTTACTATGGGGATTGCGTCAACTAGGCTCTAGTGGGTAAAAAATGATATCTCGACCGACAATGTTGGCCGAGAAACATGGGACATTACCTTCGCTTTCGCTCGTGTGGACGGTTTAGACGTCACATGGACTTATGTGAGGCCCTTATCTGATTGAGGGGTGTTTTCATCAGATGGAGACAAGAGGATATACAATGAATATGACAAGTGCATTATTCTCTTCCATTGGTGTTTATTTTCTCTCTTAGGATTTTGATGTCCACTCAACGACTTCGAGACAAGCATTATGAAACACTTGAAGATCACCCTTTTGTAATTACATTAGACGAACTGGGCATTTTTCAACTTTGGTGTGAATATAAATGGGGTAAGTCAACGGTGACACTGCTCTTCCATCCCTTCAACGCTCAAAACAACCCGGCTAATCATGCACGAGGTTTAGGTCTGATTTCTTTAAGGTAAAACTCCAAATTCATTGAGACCTATTGTTATACCTGGATTTTTATCTATAAGAAAGTCAACAAAGAATCTCAAAATGAAAATACATTTATTGTTAGAAGATACTAATGAAGTGTTCACATTAACGAAAGTGTTTTAAAGAACATTGATGACAAAGCATCGACAAAGCATCTATCATGGTGTCGACGAAGGGAAATGTGGTTTGGAGGAATCTCAGGAACATATCCATAAGATTGAAGGTACATTAAACATAAGAAATGGGGATTTGAATTGAGTTTCTATATTTAAAACCTTTTCTACCCAACACAATCAAAGATGAAACAAGAATAAAAATAAATGAACACAATTATTTTTATCATGGTTCACTATTAACAAAGTTAATCCAGTCCACCCACCAAGGTGATTTTGCCTTCTCCATAAGGACTTAATCCACTATAACCTAATTGATTACAACCACAAAGAATACCCGTCAATGTCCTCAGAAATTTTGACTATACCCTAGTCTCTCAAGGAACAACTAACTTAAAAGTTGAGATACAAAAGGTGTGTTTACAAATATGCTTCTAAGAAAGCAGATTACATGAGTTGAAATACAAAGATAAACACAAAAGTATTCCTAGAAAGTATATGAACAAAAGTTCGTTTCTTTACAACTCTTTACACAGAGATGAAATACTTACGTTTGAGAATTCACGTGAAAAGTAATTTTTTCAAAATTTATCCAGCAAAAAAGTTGTTTTCCATTCTTCCAATGTTATTATCAATTTGTGTGACGTTACCTTCAGTCTTGAGTTTCTTTTTCTGGGACACAACTTTTCCACCATGGTCGTGCTCGATGTTTTATTTGATTTCTATAGGAACCGTGCCCGACCAAGGATCGACATTATTCCTCGCCCCCAGGTGAAAACCTGGTTTAGGGTTGATATATGGAAAAATTACCACTACCTTTGGAGTGACTAGCTACGAAAAGGGGAAGGGGTTAGCTTGTATTTTCCACTTTGTGGCCTGATTTATTTGTGTATGTGCATTGTCATCGTGGGGTTTTTGATTATTTTAAACATACGTCCGTGGTGTTCACGAAAACATCCCTTATGATGGGCTTCGATCTCTTTGGTCGTATGGCGATAACGTTTTTGACGACACCCTCGACTCAAGGAAAAATATAGTTAATTGGAAATTTATTTATTCTTTGGTTGACCATCATTTTACATTATAATAATGTGTTAATGCTTTTACATAAGAACTAAGCTGAAATTAACCAAGTGGAATAGCCTCTGCTTATTAAGCACTAAAGATGTGACTGTTAGCTTTAACTTCACTTTGATTGGCTAGCCATACATATCCGACAAGGATGATCCACCTTCCCTATATGGGAGAATATCTATCTTGTCAATTTCCTGACCAAGGAAGTTACGTTAATCTCCATAAATTTTCCTTCTTCTTCCTATTAGTCTTGTTGCACAACCTTGTAGTTCCTCTTTGCCCCGGATAGGTCGGCGCTTGTTGTCATTGACTCATCATAGACATTGTGGTATTTCTACTTAAGGTGGAATTGGATGCCACTGCATCTAAGGTCGTCTCGAAATGTATGTCTATGATGAAAAATGAGTTACAATGTCGTTGAAAGGTTGTAGACCCTGGTATGTCATCCCTCTCTCAGGGTCACCATCATCTTAATTTACCTCCAAGGACAGGCTACTGTGTCGTTGAAGGGTTGTATGTGAGATCCTTCAAAGGGGAAATACTTCTATTTTTAACCATATTTTCACAAAAGGATTCAATTACATGATGTCACATGAACTACTACCATCGAGAAACATTGGGGAGACGTTGAAGTTAGTGATTTTGATTGTTATCTGTTGTACCCCAAAATTTCCCCTCTCTTTTCTCAATACATTTCTCATAAAGAACTTCAATGACTCAAGCTTGCACAAGTGTTGGCTAGGTCAAACCATCTCCTAAGCACTGAGACTCCAAATTAGGGTTTTGATTTTCACAAGGACAATTGAACTTATAATGCTTCAAATGACTTTCATGGTTCATTATAGACCTCCAAGAATTCTCATGCCAAGTTTCAAGTCTTGGATCGCAATTTTACTCAGACAATTGATCAGATGACTGAAAATCAGTTGTATTTGGTAAAAAAGTCAATTGTGGTCAAACTACAGTCAAAATCCAAGATTTTTGATCCACATCAATATTTTGAAATCATATTCATCATTTGATCAAGGTCTCATTGTTATACCTCAAATTTTCCCCTAAGATCCCTTATCACATCATGTAAATCTCATGCATATCATTGATTCCATGGCTACGAGATCAACAAATAGCTCTTGGCGTTGAGGTTTTTCCCTACGAATTGAGGTTGCTATCTTACTTAAAGTTGATTCAACTAGTTCTCTTATCATTCTTGGTACGAGATTAGGGTTTTGAGTCCCCAACATCATAGACGTCTTCCCTGATAAAACTCCTCAGGATACAAAGTTATCTTCATCAAGATTTTTCAAAGAGCAATAATTAGGGTTTCTCCTAAGTGCTTTCTCCAATAGACATTCTTTTAAGAAGTCTAGAGGACTGAATCAAGGACTTATTTCTTGTGATTCTATTTGTTAAATGGTTAAGGATTGACTGAAGATTTCATCAAGATAATTCTTAGTGCTTAAGCTGTGAATCAAGGTAGGTTTGCTTCTTGGGCTTTGATTAAATCGAAGATTTGGATTGAGGTTTCGTTGGAGGTGATTAGAAGATTCGTTCAAGAAATTCCTTTAATCCCAGATTAATTCAAGAAAATTTTTATAATGGTTTGTGTGGAATTCAAAGTTGGTGATTCAAATATCATTCAAAGTCAATGCGAATTCAAGCCCGTTTTATGAGAATTTCTTTAAAGGAGAATTACTTGAAATTTAAGACATTTCTCATTCATTCCGATTCCATTCAAATTCCTTTCAAGTGATCTAATTCAAACATCATACCGGTACAGATCCAAACCTTTCATCGTCCAAAGTCATTATCAAATTGTCCAAAATATGATCCCATTTAAGCTTCAAGCAATTCATCATCCATTATTCGAGATTCCAAACTTCATGGTTCATTCTATATTGCAAAATAAAAGAAAATATTTCAAATTTTCAAATGCAAATTAGAGGAAGCTTTGTTCATTAGTATCCTCAAGTCATCACAAGTGGAAATACAAAAAAGGAGAGAAGGAATTGCAAGACAATGTTTCTCTTACAAGGCCAAAAAAACATTTCAATACACAAAAGAAAAAGATACTAATAGTTCTTACACGGAGATCAAATCAAAGAAGGTTGAGATTTAAAGGTTATGGTGAAAGAAGAAATTTAGAATATATGGAGTTTCATCAATTGAATTCAAGAAAATACAAAAGGTTTTGTTCCATTGTTATTACAAATTCATCACCATTACAAGATTACATTCAAAACAAATTACAAGATTACATTCAAAACATCATTCATGATCCAAGCAAACTTCATTCAAGCTCCATTCAAAATTCACAAGCTACAAAGGGTTCATTATTCCATTATATTCTTGAAAGATTACATGAGAAGGAAATTACAATATAAGTTTACATCACCATCATTCAATTGATCAAGATACATACAAATTTCCATTATAAAACCCTTGCTAAAATGTTTCTAAACCTTCAAAACATTTCCAAATATGCTTCCAAAACACAACTCCACATTGCTTGCACTATGCCTAAACTTCTTCATGCTTCCTTCAAAAAAAAATTCCATGGCGGCCCTGCATAATTTATAGCAAAAGAAATCAGGCAAGTCAGACCAAACATTCGCGCAGTTCAGTTCACCATAATCTGCATATAACAAAAAAAACCAGTCTAGAAGATAGAACAGGAGCCAGTCATCTACTCACATTCATTTTTGAACTCAATCCAAGTTAATGTTCAAACTTTTCCTAACCGCCTAGCCTCCAGCCATTATCCTGACGTGCTAGTGATAACCCAAACTGCAGCTCATCCAATAAACAAATTCAGAGAATGAAATTTGAAGTCGGTCCTTGCAAAACTCTCTGCATTAGGTTCACAAACAACTTATCGGAGGAAATTAATTCATAATTGAAATGGGGCCAATTGCATAACATTTTCTTGTGTATGCAGTAGTTCGATAACAGAAATAACAGAAGAAGACTGTAAGTAAAGGAGATTGAAATTCATAAAAAATAAGAAACCAATAACCAAAGCTTGTATAACTATCCTTTAACTGATTCTCACACAAAAAAATAAAAACTAAACTCTAGCAATTCCCTAACTAGCTGTCTCACAAATGACTAAAATATAAATAACTTCTAACTGCATTTGCTTAACAACCTAGTACAAACTCCTAACCATTTCTAACCACCTAATCTCTGCCCTCCATCCCATAACTAAATCTCTAAAAATCTAACAACTGGGAGCTTCTAATTTCAAAATATAATAGAATTGTAACAGAATGATCAGAGGGAGATTGATTCATAACAGAAAATGGATAAAAATCAGAAACTGGCCTTTTTACTGGCTCTTCCTTCCACCATCCACCAGGTCTGATTCTTTCTCCTATAACCAATTCTTCACTCTCTTCATCATTCTTCAACCGAGATGAAGAATCCCCAACATAAAAATCATAAGAAAAAAATCTCTTCTTCAGTCTTTCTCTCTGAACTCTTCACATTCTTCAATTCTCAAAGGAACTCGCCACAAAATTTATCCTCTCTCGCTCTCTCTGCGTGATCTCTCTCTCTCTGCTCACTGTCTATCTTCATCTTTATCCACCAAAGAATTCAAGAAAATCTCTCTACAATATCTCGCCCTCTCCTCCATCTTCAAGCTTCAACAACCTTCAACATCGTCATCCATCACCCTGCAACAGAATCGCGACAATTTTCACCCTTCAATTATCTTTGCATATAGAGAAATTGTAACTTCAACACATCAATGCAATCCACAAGAACATGTTACAACAGCATATACGAAAGATGAACAATATTGCAAATGAACGCAGAAGAAAACAAGTAGAAGAAGAATAAACAAGAGATTGGGCGTGTTTACCTGAAGTTTTCATCACCGATACTGTCAAAGTGAAATCAGAGCCGCATTCAAAGACTTGAAGAGGAGAACTCGCAATTGACAAGAAACGAAATCGAAGATGAAAGAATCTTCCGATGGAGGCTGTGACGCGATGCTAAGATTTAAGGAGGATGAGAGTTCTTCGTTCATGATGGAACATCATGCGAACAAATGTGAATAGGAGAAGATGTCGACCGTGTTAGCCATGACGTTTAAATCGCGACAGAGATGGGGGGAGGTGGAGGAGCGAAGGGTGAATCAGTGATGAAGAATAAGAGGAGAGGTTTGTGCATCGTTGAGTTCGAAAGGAGAAGAAGGTTGTTTATCGCGGAAATATGAAGAGTCGCTTATAGTTGAAACCTAGCCAACAAAATGTATGTTTGGTGTTGTTATTGGGCCGAATCACACTCTCCCTGAGCCCACATCATCTTGTTTTTACAACCTGAACCTGAAGCCTCAACAAAAAAGCTGCTTGTTGGACCTCATGAGTGGGCCTAGTGCCCTGCTTTGGTAGCACCCATGGGTTTTTGCTTCACACCCCCTTTATTCTTCTAATATCTTGTTTTGCTTTAGTTTACTTTTTGTTTAATTTCCTTCCAATTTTCTTAATATATATATATATATATATATATATATATATATATATATATATATATATATATATATATATATATATATATATATATATATATATATATATATATATATATATATATATATATATATATATATATATATATATATATATATATATATATATATATATATATATATATATATATATATATATATATATATATATATATATATATTAAAAATAAATACATATAGTAAAACAATAAAAATATGTAGAATTTAGACTTCTTTTATGATAAAAAAAATTTGTGAGATCAATAAGAATTCGTTAGAATTTTTTTTGTGGGATTGTTGGATTTAAACCACGGTTATCCGAATATTTGAGACTTGGGATTCACTTTTGCTTGTTGAGTTAAGTCTTATGCAGGTTTATTGTGTGATATGAGGACATGTTAAAGTTTCCGATTGCGATTTATTTTCACATCGATGATGCTCTGACGCCTATTCCGAATATTCGATCTCTGACTGTTTGTTTGTTGATGTCAGCTCGCGCGAAGTATTCTGGGTTCCTTTGCTTTGGTTGCGCTTTTTGCGGACATTGTTGTTCGTTTGGTATTATACTGCTTCTAATTTATTCTTCCGCATTTTATTGCTTTTTAGATATCATGAGAAGTAGGAAATAAAGAGTGTGCGCTCGAAGTCGCTGTTTAAAGACCTGTAGTAGGCATTCCGCGCTTCATTTGTTATATGTGTCGTGCTCATGTTTGGTTTCTTGGTTGTTGATCGATGAGTCACTCAATTTAGAAATTGAGATCATGACTTCGCTCTCAGTGCATGCTCCCTATAGGATTTTATCATTTTCCTTTATTTCTTGTTGATCAATGAGTCACTCAATTTAGAAATTGAGATCACGACTTCGCTCTCATTGTATGTTCCCCATAGGATAGTTTGTTAGACTTTCTTTGGCATACTAACCTAGATAAGACCACTCATTATATGATGACATTAAATATAGATCTAGGTTAGTTCTCCCTTTAGACTTTTCTTTCCCCTTTTTCATTTGCATTAAAACAAAAACTTCTTTTTCTTACAAACTTTAAGAAAATTAAAGATTACGGATGAGAGTCATACCTTTGTTGAGCGTGGTAAATGATAAGCGGGTTTCTTCTCGATCTTATCGTCCTTCCATCCTAAGCCTTGGTGTGGTTCAAGTCTCAAAGACTTATTTCATAAATAAGTAGAGAAATGGCTAATATCTCTCTCTTGAGATTAACTAGCTGTTATCTGCAGCAAAAACACCAACCAACACAAATTCTTTTGCCTTTGGGCTTTACTTTCAAAATTCTTTCCAAAAGGACATGTTAAGTCACTTATGTGCTGACGTGTAAGTCTCCAAAGGTCGAGTTGTGGCAGAAGGAGAAATTAATATTGTTTATTAAAAAATACAAACAAACAAAAACATTCGGAGCCGAACTACGGTGCTCTGATTCCTTAAAAGGGATACGTAGGCATTGGGGTAGGGCCCGAACGAGCATAACTTTTATTTTCCCTACATTATTTTCCGTTTTCTTTGCATGCATTCCCTATTAGTTTATAATCTTAAGCATTAGATTGAACACACCCTTTGATTAGAACAACAAGAGTGGATCCCGTAGAGTACTACAGATGTGTGGGGTGTTAATACCTTCCCCTCGCGTAATCGACTCCCTTACCCAATCTCTCGGTCGCAAGACCTTGATTTCCCCTTTAGGTTTTTCTTCGATGATTTTCCTTTCCCTTTTATGTGGGATAAATAAATACTCGGTGGCGACTTTACTGATTTTACCACTATAGAAAAAATGGCGACTTCACTGGGGAATCGTCGACCAATTGCTGGTCCATCCCGTGACTCACTCCTAGCTCCTGTTTTTATTTCCTTTGGGTGTTTATCTTTATGCTTTATAGCTTATTCATTTGTATGTATTTGAGCATATGTATGCGTTGCATTTTATCGCTTTCCATATATTGTTATTTATGTTGTGCTGTATTCTGTGTTTATTGATGGGAGGGTGTTACTATTAAGGTAAAAGGCCCAGTACCCAGGCCAGAGTGCACCAGGACACTAGGAATAGAGTAGGGGCATGACGGATATAGGACGTGGTTCGATTAGTATGAAGATGTGAAAAACACAAGAAGGGGGGTTGAATTGTAAAACTTGAAATCAAATGTAGACAACACGTTATTTTTATCCTGGTTCGTTTGATCTCAAACTACTCCAGTCCACCCGTCAAGGTGATTTCGCCTCTCTCCAACGAGGTCTTAATCCACTATATTCAACTGAATACACAACTGCTTTAACAATTGTTAAAGTCTTCTTGAGTTTAACCACAGACCGGTTTATCTCAAGGAAATTCTTTTACAGATAAATGAACAAATGTGTGTTTGATGTTTTCTTACAAAACTATATATCACAACTGTGATAATACACAATATGAAGCTTATATGAAACTAGACTGCTAATGCTATTGAGTAGGCGTGGTTGAAAGCTTTAGCAATTTGAGTGAGAGAGTTTTTGTATGCGTGCGTGCGTAAAAAGCATTAGCCAATTCTTTTCTCACTGACTTGTTTAAGTAGCCTTGGAATAGATACGTTGCTGTCCATAAATCAATTTCAATGCTCATAACGTTCTTTCCTTTTTGAGAAGATCTTTGTCTTGGAATAAAGCCGTTGGTAATTAATCTGTCTTGAATGCATAGTAACATTGACACTTCAGAGTGTTCTGCTAATGACAATCAGAGTGTTCTTGGCTTTAGCTTATTCTGGCGTTTCTGAGTGCTGATGACATGGTTAGGATCTTGATCAGCGTCAGAGTATGTTTTGCGCAAATTTTGTTCATCAGACTTCAGCGTAGCACATGTTTGATCTTCTGATGCTGACATATCTTCTGATGCTGATGTTGATATTCTAATGCTGATTCCATCAGAGTTTTTGTAAATACACAGTATAATTTTAAGTAGCATATATGTCTTATAAATCTTACAATTTATTTAATCTTGTATTTTGTTATCATCAAAACTCTAACTGAGGGTTGTAGAATCAAACTATGTTCTAACAATCTCCCCCTTTTTGATGATGACAAAAACCAGATTTTTTCAATTAAAATAAAATGATGAAAGGTATCAGAGTTTAAGGATAGAGAGGAAACAATATCAGAGATAATCAATTAGCGCATAGAAGGTATCAGAGATAAGAAGATAAGGAATAAAAAGTATCAGAGTAATGAAGAGAAAAACTCCCCCTGAGTTTATTACTTCCCTTTGATTCCTTGAGACCTTGAGCATCATAACTTTATTGAACTTTTCTTTGAGCATCAGAACTTTACTTTATCAGAGTTCATCAGACTCTTGTACCTATAAGCTTTTCAGAACAAGGAAATTCAAATATATCAGAATGTTAGAATGTTTGAGACTTATGTCTCAGTAATCCGTTATTGAAAAATATCATTCTTTCTCCCCCTTTTTGTCAGTTATCAAAAAGCACGAATAATCAGAGTTAAAATGATCAGAGCAAAAAACGTTTGTATTAAAAATAGAAGCAATGATAGTTTAGAACAAGTAAAAATATTACAGACAAACATGTAAAGAAAACAAGGAAAACACAGGAAGAATTCTAAGAAGAAGGAGGAAGTCGTGTGAACAGAGCTTCCAACATGCTCTTGATTTGATTGCTGGTTTCCTGTTGCTTAGATACCATGTTAAAATAAATACATATAATAAAACAATAAAAATATATAGAATTTAAACTTCTTTTATGATAAAAAAAATTGTGAGATCAATAAGAATTCATTAGAATTTTTTTTGTGGGATTGTTGGATTTAAACCATGGTTATCCGAATATTCGAGACTTGAGATTCACTTTTGCTTGTTGAGTTAAGTCTTATACAAGTTTATTGTGCGATATGCGAACATGTCAAAGTTTCCGATTGTGATTTATTTTCACATCGATGATGCTCTGACGCCTATTCTGAATATTTGATCTCTGACTGTTTATTTGTTGATGTTAGCTCGCACAAAGTATTCTGGGTTCATTTTCTTTGGTTGCGCTTTTTGTGAACATTATTGTTCGTTTGGTATTATACTGCTTCCAATTTATTCTTCTGTATTTTATTGCTTTCTAGATATCATGATAAGTAGGAAATAAAGAGTGTGCACTCGAAGTCGCTGTTTAAAGACCTGTAGCAGGCATTACACACTTCATTTGTTATAAGTGTCATGATCGTGTTTGTTTTCTTGGTTGTTGATAGATGAGTCACTCAATTTAGAAATTGAGATCACGACTTCGCTCTCAGTGCATGCTCCCTATTTGATTTTATTTCTTTCCTTTATTTCTTGTTGATCGATGAGTCACTCAATTTATAAATTGAGATCACTACTACGCTCTCATTGTATGTTCCCCATATGATAGTTTGTTATAATTTCTTTGGCATGCTAACCTAGATTGGATCACTCATTATATGATGACGTTAGAGATAGATCTAGGTTAGTTCTCCCTTTAGACTTTTCTTTCCCCTTTTATGTTGTACCCTAAAATTTGCCCTCTCATTTCTTAAAGGATCATCCTGGACTCTCAGGTTTGCTTCTATCAAGTTCCAAGTCTTAAATTATCACTTTTCAAGAAAATCATCCATAAGGGCAAAATGGTCAAAAGCACACTGAAAAGTCAAACTTTAACTTTTTGA